TGTTAATTTAAATAATTTAAGAACACTTTTCATACTTTCCAAGGCAATAATATTAAAAATGTATTACAATTTAACGGAGAAAAAAAAGTAGTCAAGCTTAATTCCACAACATTAATTCCAACATTCGTTAAGTTTAACTAACAATAAGTTGTTATATCACGCAATCACGTTATAGGGTAACTAAATAGAAAATAATTTATATGAAATTGAATTCACATTTAATTCATTATTTTATCAAACTTATAATTAATATTGTGAAATAATTTGCACTAAATGAACAAAAATTCAACGATTATAATGTAAGACGTAATTAAAATGAAATAAATAATTAAAGCATACTTTTGATCAAATAAAATATTTCCCATCATGACGATTTATATCACATTTAAGGGGGTCTTCTAGTGTGACGGCCGTTTTTGCTAATTTATTACATAAGTACGGTAACAGTTATTAACACGAGCTTTATTCCTATGTATTTACTTGTCCTTGAAGAATCATTACAAATTGGTTTTGTTGAAAAATAATTAAACATGGCTGCTGTGGAACACGTCAAACAGGAGCATGAAAAAAAAAAAAGTAGGTCCATGATTGCCATGATATGAGCTGTTCTGCTTATCAGAAATAAAAAAATCCAATTGATTCTTATTTAGTATGCGTGTCGCTATGGTCGGTAATAGAATAAAAGAAAAATATTGAAAATTCAAAAAATGGCGGCACTTTGAATACGAAGTATCGATTTTTTCGATTTTCTTTCGCCTTTCAGAGGCTCTGAAAATCAGAAAAATATATATTTTGATATTTCCACTGAAGGTGCATGTAAAATTTGGAATCAATCGGACAACTTGAGATATCATGTCGGCCATTTAGAAAAACATGGTTTCGAGAAAAACGCGTTTAAAGTTTCTCGTATCAGTTTCACGAGAATGGTATACTTACGACTACGGGCTACATGTCGTTTTCTTTAACTAGCTATAACTTCGTCAATTTTTAATTATTTCATTCCTAATTAAATTAATAGAAGAAGAAATTTGAAAGCTATAAAACAATTTACTTGCAACCAAAATTATCATTAAATTAAAATTAATTAACGAAAAGTTATCTTTATTAATTTCCTAAGCAGAATAATGACCGAAAGTAATTCATGCTACATATTCTTTCCAAAAAAGAAAAAAACAATATTCTCACTATGAATTATCAACCATAGTGCATTCTAATTTAAAAACAATTGAAAAACAATCAATAGGACTAGAATATAAACACTAGTGTCTCGAAAAATTCGGTTGAAATTATTTCAATTTACGACTTCTGTTTAAAATACACCGCTTGAAAAATGTCAATAAAAATAATCTAATAGTGAAAAGAACTCGAACGAAATCTTATTCTGAACAATTAATTCCCCAGCCGTGTGAAAGTAATGTGATCGGATCAGAATCGTCGATTTTGCAAGCTCACGTACGCGATAGTAATTGCACGCTAATTATGATCCAGTTCATTAATTTCGAGTCACGATCGCTTCGTTATACCGACAAGCCGTTAAAAACAAACAGCGAGCCGAGCAGAAACTGAATTTACGAGAACAGTGAGCCAATTAACGAGCTACTTGAATCGTAATACTTTTTCGCGCCACTCGACGAGGCCACCTTGCTCAAATTGCTTCAAATTGAAATTCCTCCCGAACACTTTCTCGTCGATTCGAGGTGGAAAAAATCCGCGTGTAATTAATTAGTCGATTAATTGATCGTTTCTACGTTCGACAAGCTTTTTATCTGCAAACGGTGTGTACTGATTATCGGTGTAACGAAATGAGGTATTGAAGAGTTCTGAAGAATTTTTTCAATTATTTGACAGAAACATATAATAGAGCAATTAAGTTAATGATTAATAACTGGTAATTAAGCGTGACAATCTTCTTTGTTTATAATTAAATTCTAACACATTTTTACTATTTTTAATTATTACAAAACTTAATTGGAAAATTCTTTCGTGTCATAATAATACACAAGTGAATCATTTATTTTAACTGCATTTCTCAGGTAAAATTGTGCAACATAATATTAGTATTCTGATATGTTTTTAATACGAAGCAAAGTTTTGTAAAAATGAAATTTATCAACAGTTTCTACAGTTATAATTAAAAGCACGTTCTTCAAACACATACAATTGGTCACTCTGTCATTACATAATAAACACTTGCCACTTTGATGGTTTTATATTTGTTGTTTATATTATGATCAATTTAACCTATTGAGGCTTAACATCCTACTTACATAACTGATATTTCCTCATGTTCAAATAGATCCTCCTCCGTGTATTGTACATTTCAAATGTTCATCACTTTTTGTTATTTTACTTAATAACTTTAATCCGAATTTTTACATTATTTTAAATAAAAAATTCAACTGTTATTTATCGTGATACTAATTCCATATTGTTTGTATTTTATTTAACTGCGATCAACCTTCTAACTGTTTCAAGTGATTACTTGAACGTTCATTAATTTTTCGGTAATTAAAATTTAAGTTAAATTCAAATTAACATTTAATTTGCTTAGATCAGAAGAAAATTCTGATTTACGTAATAATCAGTTTCATGAATAACGAATATTTTAAACACTTTTTTGAATTAGTATCAGTACATAATTCTCTCAAATATTTCACGATTATATTTTCAAACTAAATTTTACGAACAGGTTTAAATAAAAAATTAACAAATTTTGCATCATCTGTAATAGTAACTTTTGTCCGATCACTGGAATATCTTGAATATTACAAATTGCTCAAGCGAGCCTCGATCATTCTAATTTATAAATTAGAGTTTAAAGAATAACGAAACATAAATGTTTCGAGGTTAATTTTAAACTAAGACACTTAACTTGAAGAGATGAACATTTACACACGTTTATATTCGAATTGATTTATCGAAACGATCAAATTTGCAATAATTTGTAAGTAAGTTAGTATTCTGAAGTGAAGTTTCAAGATGAAAATTTCATAAAATTCTTCTAATGCTACTTGTGAATGGTATAATTCCATCATTACTCTTACCCATGATGGTAATTTATAATCGCTTTATCGTTATTACTGATCACCATCATTATTGCTCCTCGATCGGTAACCACCATAACCAACGTTACCGCTATTATGTCATCATTAGCTGCTAATCTCTCATCCCTAATGTAGTCATCAAACAAGCCTTATTACGTATTACACATTTTCAAGCATTTTCTTTTTCTACTTTATCGACACATTTGTCATTTTGTTCCATCAAATCATTGGTACATTTTTATTACGTATATTAATATTTTTATTGATTAATCGTTTGGAAAAAGAATTTCGTAACATTTCTATGAAAATAGTTTCTTACTTGTTTATTTTCGTAATATTGAAAAAAAACTTTTCCTTAGGTTATACCTTACATTTAAATTTTTATTTTCGTTTTCTCATCATTTTAGAAATATTTGCAGTTTCGGGAATATTTTGAAATTTGATTAATACTGAATATTTGAAGACCAACTGAAAACCTTCATTTCTTATAGTTTTTCGTTTGCTCATTTCGTCATTCTTTTCTTTTTTGTCTTACAATTTCGTTATCCTACGAGTGTCCAAGGTCATCTGAAGGCATATTCAAAAGTATTTTCTCGTCTGCTGCAAGATGCAACAGAAAAAAATAAAAGTTTCTTGCAGAAAAAAACAACGATGACCTTTAAAAAAAAAAAAATGAGCAAACAAGAAACTTTTTCTTCCATGATATTCCCCTTTGAAAATCATTTAAATCGTGTTACAAACATATTTCATGACATGAAAAACAACGGAGATATTTAAGTGACCTCCTTCAGCTGGGACACCCTGTATTGTCCACTTGAATTTTGATTAACAACTATCTTTCATTGCATTGACGAAAATGGTTGGAAAACAGTTAACCCTCTGGACTCCTCTGTCGAGTGTGACTCGACATCAGTTTTATTCATAGGTAGTATGAATGAAGTAATTTTTAAATTGCCAGTTTAAAATTTTGATTAACAACTATCTTTCATTGCATTGACGAAAATGGTTGAAAAACAGTTAACCCTCTGGACTCCTCTGTCGAGTGTGACTCGACATCAGTTTTATTCACAGGTAGTATGAATGAAGTAATTTTTAAATTGCCAGTTTAACCCCTTAACCTATGATTTCTTTTCCGACTATGCATCTAAGCGTCGGCCATTTTTTGTTTCAGTACTGTATCAGGTAACAAAAGCTAATCTGTTACAGATTAGTTACATTTAGTAATCTTCAGTCTTGCAAATTAAAACGAAAGATAGGATTACAATGAATTTTTCTTACTAATAGAACTATTTTTCTCACATCTTCACCAGAATCTCTGCCACGAGTCTGACACGTTGTTATAGGTTAAAGGGTTAAATATGTACTATATTTTGCAATTTTTTTTTTTACCTAAATGAGCAACAGGTACACATATATACGACCCTTAATGCTATTTTCAATATAATTAGTAAAAAAAATTGTTTAAATTGGTTCCTATTGACCAAATGTCTTTCCAAGAGCATTTCAAATATAATTCTTAAAATAATAGGGAGTTATTGGAAAAAAAATTTTAAAAGAATTTGGAGTTCAAAGGATTAAAGAAAGGGTGAACATAGCCCTATTTTCAATTGTCCCACCATTCTTGTTAAATAGTATAATTTTAATTTTAATTTTAATTTTACTAACGATTTTTCAAATAAGAATAGCTCATAGCTTTTACAGTTATTTCTTGCAAATACTGTAAATTCAAAAAAAGATATTTGGAGTTCAAAGATCCTGCGTATAGAGATTTTCTTTCACACTCTGATTTATCGTCACCAGAAGAAATACATATATTACCCACTTTTCCCCCAAAAGCCAAGGGAGGGTGGTACTTACCAAGCAAGAGAAGCTTGATGTCCTTGGCGGCCTGGATACCATCCTCTTTCAAGTTCTTCTC